ACTAGAGAGGGATCAAAATGGAGCATGACACTTTATATGTGCAAATGTCAATCATTTTAAAGAATAGCAACATTACTATCCATACTTGATGAGACAATTTCATATGACACTCAAATCTTGACCATTTATGAAACTAACATCATCATCCTTTCCATTTCTTATCCAAATGCCAAAATTCACAATAAGATATTAGCCCATACTTTTTATTTCGATCAAGTGTTAGGTAAAAAAATCACGGATTTAGTAGTTCAAAGTAATGACATGGGGGCTAGTTTTACAAATAAATAAGATTTTGATGTTATGTACGTAAATATCCCTAATTGATAATGACTTGAAACTAATCTGTTTTAAAATGTAGATAGGGGAGATATCTACAAAAAATACTTAGAAAAATACTACACCTGATAACCACAACCATCACCATATCAACTCCGGAGGAGACTATTGCTGAGTATATTGGTCTGCCAGCAGTACCAGATGGTTCACCATCATCATTGCTGCGATATTGATCTCCCAGCTTTGTGAACAAGCATGTTCATTAAAAATGAAAGAAGTACAGAAAAGGCTTAAGCTTCAATAAAAACATTATTCTAGGAAAGGAGTAGGAAGCCAACCTTGTACGCCCAACAATTATGAGAAGCTCGTAGATCTTGGACCTAAGTTAAAAAATAACCGTAACGGATGTCAGAATCTCTTTAACTGCATTCAGTTTTCCTGAATCCAAAAGCAGAATATATAAACAAAAACAGCATAAACTGGTTCAATTGTAGAGAAAGAGGCATGGCATTAACCAGTCTTTATATCAAGCAAAAGTCGGTTCAATTAGAATTACTTTAAAAGCTCTTTTATGCTATAATTTTTTAAGGAGAATTAATTTTCTATCCAAAAATTTCTTTTGGAAGTGTTTAATGATTCACTCTGGCTTTATCTTTCCCAAACCATAAGGTAGAATCCAGAATTGTTGATATAAGTCCCTCCACATCAGGAAACATGACAAACGAAACTATGCCAATGTAAAATAAGCATATTTTACTTGATTTGAATAAAAAATTTAAAGATCATTTCGTAAATGCCACAACAAACATATTAATCCAAACCAGCACAGAAACAGCACATAACTAATGGTGTAATATAGCAGAAAACCCAAAAAAACATTAAACCCAAAGAAAAACTGAGATTCGAACATTTAAAACAGTATGTTTATAGAAAGTGGCCTAAAACCTCAAAGAAAGGTTCTCTCACTAGTAGTCAATAGTATTGAGCTTAAGCAAAGAAAATAAGATATTTGCATACGAGGTTCTACTACCTCAAATAATAGGTGCTCACAACGCTAGTAACCACTAAAGCATTTAATCGGACATAGGGAACACCAAGTATATTACGAAGAACCCACCCTTTCATGAAGAACCCAACGTTCATCTTTCATCTTTCCTTCAAGGCTAACACTTCTGGCCAAACATTATTTATGAAGATAATTAAGAGCTTCAAAAGGCAAAAGACGAGACAACATAAGCCCCACCCCAATCCTCTTCACATTCATCAATCAGTTAGAGCAGAAGTGCTTCTAATGACTAATATAACAAAGCACAACTGATGCATCTCAGTAAGGACCGAACTTGACTATGCCAACTTAGGTTTTCAGGTTGTGATAATGTGATCATTTTATTATATATGCTTATATAAAAGTTTTCAATTATCATGATAAATTTAGAACGATTTTAGATTATAAGTTACACTATCTTGTTGTAGTAGGTTGTAAAATCTGTAATAGACTTATATGTAAAAAAGTACCATCTACTATAAATAGATGAATAATAAGAAAATATGAGTTTAAAAACCTCAATGGTCGGCCTCCCCTTGGATCTCTCCTTCTTTTCCCACTGTGTGAGTGGTGTTGAGGATTAGCAGCTAGCATGAAGATGAAGACTCTTAGTGTGTAACGTGAAAACCCCAATCAAACGAACCATAAAACAACACTTGACATGGCAGCCTAAAAGTTAAGTACTTAAATCTTCCTTTAATGCAATAATTACACACCATATGGAACCAGATTTATGAGCAAAAGCTCTGACAGGCAATCACGCGGTAGAATTATAATAAAGTAAAATCATGAAGAAATGTCCATAAAATGGAAAAACTTCCACGAACTGGCCCTAAATTTAAATTAACTTAGTCTCCTACAAAATCCCATACAAGCTCCTAAATCAGTTATGAATAGAACGAAGTGCCAGTTTTAAGAAATCTGAAAGGTAAAGAGCAATCTCCTCAGGCCCAAGAACTTTTTAAGTACTAATCTTGCTCTAATAGGACATTAAGGCAGGACACTGCTATCCATTACCCTGCCCTGCAAGCTTCAACAAGAAGTTGCATTAGGTTGTTCACTCCGATTATTTTTGGTTTTCACGTCTTTTGGTATGATTAGGGCATGTAGATGGCACTGAAACATATTTCTCGTATTGTTGCTGCTTCATAGTATGTCTTGTATTTTTTAATGACGATTAAACATACCTTCTTCTCTTTTGCGAGCTAAGATCCCAGAATATGATTATTCTTAAACATAAAATATGAAACAATTCATGTTTGGAATTTTTTGTTTTTCGTTTGTTTTGCTTCATTGTGTGCGTGCAGTTAAATTGAGAGAAAAAACCACATTTTGCATGCCAGTAATTTAGCTTTATAATCGGAGCACTTCTTCCCAGTCAGATGAGGTGAAACATAAAGCAAAAGCTTTAGCCACTTATACAAACAACAGCTACAACGTCCTCTTATGTCCTCGATTAAATTAACCCTAATTCCAGAATGCTCAAACCATAACAAGAATGAAGACTTAAAGAAATGAAATGAAGAGGGAAGACCTCGGAGAGGAAGGAATGAGCGGAACGCTCGTCGGAGATTGGTGCTGCGATGGCAATGAATTTGCTTCGCTTGATCTCGCGCTCGCAAGTTGCTCTTTCCTTTAGAGTCGTGTAAGAAGCTGGAGGCGGCGATGACATTGCTCGGACGATTCTCTCTCCTACGGCGCTCACGGCAGAGATGCAAAGCTTCGCGGTGCTCTCAGCTTTTGCCGTCGCCGGGGAAAAGAGCCAAGCGGGTAATCGTACCGCCATTTTCATGAGACGGTTCTAGCATTTTTGTACTTTACTATGTGGCCTATTATGCTCCGAGATTTATGTTTTCTTATTTCCTATATATATACTAACATAGTTTGGTCGGTTTTAGGATTAAGAGTCCAGTTTTATTTTTAACAAGTCGATTTATTTATTATGAAAGAGAAAAAATAATTATAATTTAGATAATTATTATAATAAAATGATTAAAAAAATACTTAATATAAAAAAGTAAGATGATTTTTAAATATTTTAATAATTATATATATATATATATAATTTTGATTATCTATATATTTTAAGTATATTTTATTTTAATATTTTTAAATGACTCACAAGCTAACTAATCAAATCAAGATTAGCTCAAAATAGACTCGTTAACTCATCAAGCTCTATTAACAAATTATTTATCGAGTTACGTCCAAACAGACTCACAAGTCGGCTTGTTCCACTTACAGCCCTAATTGAAATATTTACTAATAACAATCACAATCATTAAGATACATATTTATTACTCATCTAAACTTTAAAATTCATTTACAAGACCTAACATTGAATTCATTATAAACAAAATAATATAAAAATAATAATTTTTTATCCTTGCCGACATAAATGAATTAGGCGATTAAGACCAGTCTAAGTTCACCTTTCCAACTGCCATTCTACTATGGGTGCATGTAATACCTTACAATTTTATTTTATAATCTAATTATCATAATCCTATCTGATTAACTACTTAAAATTTTATTAAACTAAAATTTCATTTGCAACAATTTTCATGCAATTTTCTAATGAAAAAATTTTAGTTGAAATTTTTTTTTTACTAAAAAATCACTTTAAAAAACGATAAGAAAACTATGATTTGAGAAATTATTATGAGCGAAGATCTCACATAACGCTGATCGGAGATTAAACAGAATACATCATGTCAACAACACCAAACTACAGTACCAAGCGGTACCGAGCCGCGATACCGAGTACATAGCTGACGTGACTAGGGGTGCAAACGAGTCGAGTCGAGTCGAGCTCGAGGGTTGTTCGAGCCGAGCTTGTCTGTCAAATGTCGAGCTGAGCTCGAGCTCGAACTCGAGTCGAGCTCAAAAGTCGAGCTCGAGCTCAACTCGACAGAGAAAAAAAAAAAAGCTCGTCGAGCACTAGCTCACGTGTCTGTGTCCATCGTTGCTCGTGCGTCGCTGCTCGCGCAACGATGCTCGTGTCGCTGATCGGAGAAGGCCGGAGGAGCTCTAATCGTTGATCTCGTCCAGCAGCCCTATGTTCGCGTCGCGTCAAGCAGCCCTGTGTTCGCGTCGCTGGCCGGAGGAGCTCGCGTCGCTGATCGTCCGTCGTTGCTCGCATCGCTGATCGGCAAAGTTGCTACCCACGTCTGTCACTGCTCCGTCTGTTGCTACCCGCGTCCGTCGCTGATCGTGTTCGAGCTACTCGACGAGCCATCGAGTCGAGCAGCCATGTTTTCGAGCTCGAACTCATGTTCGAGCTCAACTCACGAGCTCGATAAGCTCGGTTCGTCGAGCTCGTTAACGAGTCGAGCCCGAGTCGGCTTGGCTCGGTTGCACCCCTAGACGTGATGCATTCTAATTGATCTTCGGATAACGTTCGACATCCGCAAAGAATAATTAATCCCCAACCGAACCTAAAATTATATCATAACCAAACCTATCAAAAAAGCTACCGTCAAATTTATTATACCCACGACACATACGTAAGCTTAAGTTTTATCATACCAATTCTGCATCTAATCTTACATATAGCACCAACAACCTCATGCAAGACATATAGAGCCATCTCAAACAGCCCATTACAATAAAAGCTTGACATTTTCTTTCTGTACGCTGTATTTGTGCCGAACCTGTAAGATTAAATTCTGGATTGCAGTTGGGAAAATGCAACGATAAAGATGGCTGTAATTTCTACTTTGAACTAGCTATATAAAATTAATACAACTACTCTTATTACAATGCCCAAAACAGATTAATAAAATGTTTGGGCTGTCCTATCCCCACCGGTTCTTCTAAATAATACATTGGATTTTCTCTCACTGGAGTTAACCCAATCAGTGTTGCTTCTACTGCTAAGCTGCTCTGTTAAGTTTCTGTAGTGCTTAATGGAATACAAAAAGGATGGGCTCTCTCTGCCCTCAGACCCACTTTCTCCAACGTTTCCACCGTCCCTGTCCACCTTTAAATCCAAAGAACTTGCATCAGATGAAACCGAAACTCTCCGAGGACTGTTCATGTAGCCCGGCTCACTAAATGAAGAGTCGGCGAAATCGTCTGAGGTGGCAGAGTCCTTTGTGCTCTCTGTGCTCCACGAAGAACCCTCGTCGGAGTAGCTGAAAAGCGACGATATGTCGCTCGACGAATCCACCTTAGGAGGGCGCCGGAATCTTTCATCGAATAGATCATGAAGGCCAGTGTGATTGTGGTTGGTTTTGTTTCCTGGGTGGAAGAACATTGAGCTAGATCTCGTAGTGGAATTAGGAACATCTATGAGTTCCTTGGATTTGATCTTCTTCGCCATTTCTTTTCTTAGTAAGCTTGGGGCACGAGGAGAGCACCTAAAAGAAGATTAATTTGATGTTATTATCAGACTCTGTAAGAAGGGTGGGTTGATTTTCAAAAGCGGTGAAAAGAAGCTGAGTTTACCGGGCATAGAGAAGCAGGTATGCACCCTGGGACAAGACTTTCTGAAGATCCACTTCTTTTACCTGCAAATAAAAGTTGGCCGAAGACAGGTTCATAGCCACGACATTTTTTAGGAAGAAGAACGAATCACAGAGGAGATCAATATTTTTGCCAAGGCAGAAATCTATATAATTTGGCAAGAGTGAAGTAGACTATTTAGGTGGTATGGAACATAAAGAAGGGACAACAATTATTGAATATAAACCAAGGTTTATTCATCTTTACTTGCTGAATTGATGTTTTATCAAGAAGGCATCATCATCAACAACAACAACAACATCAAGCCGTTATCCCACTACGTAGGGTCGAATACATGAATCCTTTTTCTTCATTGTGTCCTATTAAAGGTCAAATTCTCGTTTAAATCTAATAAAGAAAGTTCATTCCTAATATTTTCTAACCGAGCTTTTTTAGGTCTGCCTCTACCTTTCTTAACATAAGTCAAATCTAATACCTCTACTCTCCTAACCGGGTCATTCAAAGGCCGTCGTTTTATGTGACCAAACCATCTAAGGCGACTCTCTCTAATCTTATCTCCTACTGGAGCTACTCCAACATTTTTACATATATAATCATTTCGTATCCTATCTCTAAGGGTAAAGCCACTCATCCACCTGAGCATCCTCATCTCTGTCACACTTAACTTAGTATTATGCTTCTCTTTTAATAGCCAACATTCAGCACCATAAAGCATTGCAGGCCTCACTACTAGGGGTGTCAATTCGGGTCAACGGGTCAGTTCCGAGTTCGCCGAACCCGGAACTGACCCGGCAATATTCGGGTCAACCCGAACCCGACCCATTTTTAAAAACGTGTCAGGTTTCCGGACCCAAACACGACCCGATTCGGGTCCGGGTCGACCTGACCCGAATGACCCGAAGTTGACCCAAAATTGCTAGTTTTCGGGTCAATCTTCGATTTTCGGGTAAAAAACGGGTCAATCTCGAATTTTTCGGGTCAAATATGAGTTTTCGTGTCACTTTCGGGGCAATTTCGGGTTGCTGGGTCAACACGAACCCGATTCGATTTTTAAAACGGGTTGATTTGTTGAACCCGAACTCGACCCGTTTCGGGTTCGGGTTGACCCGAACCCGGATTTTTCCTGGTCGGTTTCGGTTCGTGTCAAAAATTGACACCCCTACTCACTAACATCTTATAGAATTTTACCTTAAGTTTGAGGGGTACTTTTCTATCACACAACAAGCCCGATGCATTCCTCCACTTTAACCATCAAACTTGAATTCTACTGATAATATCCCCATCTATTTCACCATCACTCTGAACAATAGATGCAAGATATCTAAAACGTGTATTCTTATTAATGACTTGATCGCCCAAAGTCACAATACCCTCACTAGGTCTATTACTACTAAAATTACACTCCATATATTCCGTTTTAGATCTACTCAAGCGAAAACCTTTAGTCTCTAATGTTGACCTCCATAATTCAAGTTTACTTTCAACTCCCTCTCTAGTCTTATCAACAAGAAGAATATCATCAGCAAAAAGCATACACCAAGGTACATCCTCTTGCAAATGTCTAGTGAGAACATCCATGACTAAAGCAAAAAGATATGGGCTTAAGGCAGATCCTTGATGTAACCCAACCGAAATAGGGAAATACTTGGTCAAACCACCTTGTGTTTGAACACAAGTAATAGCTCCTACATACATATCTTTAATGATTTGAATATAAGCATTATTAACTCATTTCTTTTCAAGAACTCTCCATAGCACTTCTCTTGGAACTTTATCATATGATTTTTCTAAATCGATAAAATGTAGATCCTCCTTATTTTCTCTATATTTCTCCATCAAACCTCTTAATAAATGTATGGCTTCCATAGTTGGCCTACCCGGCATGAATCCAAATTGATTTTGAGAAATATAGTCTATCTTATTTTCACAATTTTCATTAAAAAGTTTAGCAAAATATCTCATCCACCTTTGTTGAATATCATCTTCTAAGAAAAGTATTTTTTGATCTTCATCCTTAATACACTTCACTTGAACTAAATCCTTACTACTCCTATCTCTATGTTTGGCTAACTTATACATATATATTTCTACATCCTTAGTATCTAATCTATTATATAAATTACTAAAAGCTAAGGTCTTCGCATCGCATATTGCTTTATTAGATTCCTTACGAGCCTCTTTATATCTTTCCCAATTATTAGAATTTTTAAAATTAAACCAATTTTTATAACATATCTTCTTATTATTAATATTTTCTTGCACAATTGGATTCCACCACCAACTATTTTTACTATTAGGAGTTTTTCCCTTTGATACTACAAGCACATCTTTTACAATATTCTTAATATCACTAGCCACTTTTTTCTACATAACATTAGCATCCTCATGCACAGATAATATCTTAAGATCTAAAATCTTACTCTCAAAATTATTTTTGTTAATATTCTTTAAATGCCCCCATCTAATCCTAGAATATCATTTTACTTTATTTTTTATTATCTGCCCCTTTATCTTAAAGTCCAAAACTAATAATCGATGTTGGGTACATAAATTTTCACTCGGAATAACTTTTATCAAGAAGTCATCCTGGACCTTAAATTCTAGGGTGTTGTACCACAACTAGTCAAGACATTGACTGGCTCCTAGCTGAAAAAACTATCACAGCTGCCTACCGTAGGTTACAACCTAACCGGAGTATTAAGTTGTCAGAAAAAATTCACCAATTCTCCTAAAAGGATGATTTTTTTTTAAGTTAGGCAACAAATCTTCTCATTCACAAATATAGCAATCAATCTAGAGAAACAAATAAAAAATGAAAATCAAATAATAACTATAGAAAGGTCACAAGGGTTTTCAGGAAATTTAGAACCCTTGAGTCAATCTAAAACAACAACAACAAGCCTTTATCATACTATGGGGTCGGCTATATGAATCATTTTTCTCCATTGTGTCATGTTAAGAGTTAAATTCTCATCTAAATCTAATAAAGAAATGTCATTTCTAATATTTTCTAATCAAGTCTTTTTAAGTTTGTCACTACATTTCTTAACAAAAGTCAAATCTAATATATCTATTTTCCTAATCGGGTCATCAGAATATCGTTGTTTAATGTGACCAGACTATCTAAGACGGCTCTCTATAATCTTATCTTCCACTGGAACTACTCCAACCTTTTCTCATATATGCTCATTTTGTATAATGTCTCTAAAGAGTAAAGCCACTCATCCAGCAGAGCATCCTCATCTCTACAACACTTAGGTTAATATTATGCTTCTCTTTTAATGGCCAACATTCTGCACCATAAAGCATTGCAGATCTCACTACCATCTTATAAAAAATTTCCTTAAATTTGAGGGGGACTTTCCTATCACACAACAAGCCTGTTGCATTCCTCAACTTCAACCATTCAACTTGAATTATACTAATAATATCCATGTCTAGTTCATCATCACTCTGAATAATAGATCCAATATATCTAAAACATGTAGTCTTATTAATTACCTGATCGTCCAAAGCCACAATTCAACCACTAGATCTATTATTACTAAAATTACATTTGAGATAAAATATTGAAATAGATTTTTTATCATCCTAGCTAGAGTTACTGTAATTCCTTCTAATAGATATTCCGAAGAGTGGAAAACAGGAGGATATCCCAAACATCTTTAGCTTTTTTCTTATAGGGTTAAATTAATGATGCAATTGCTTAACCACGTGTATGCAGTTAAGAAAACTAAAATTTTTAAGCTAAACAAGGAATAACAGAGAAGCATGAAAATAAAATACTTACCACACTATCATCAGCTTTGAACCACTTTCCTTGTGTATTCTTTACATAGCACACATAATGACCCGAGAAAGTTGCATTCGCCTGACCACTATGAACCACAACAGCATACAGCCTATAAACTGGAGAGTTGTCATCAGAACCCCTCATATAAGGAGCCAAGTTCAAGTACTCGGAGAACCGAACCATCCTATTCAGCTTACCATACTTGCCAGACTGAAGTTCACAAGAAAGGCAAGATTGTCAGGGCAAATAACAATCTTATATTAACCTAACAAATATCACATCCAGTCCTAGGGAACAAAAAATCAGGACTAAGGGTACATTTACATTCACCAGGTACCTGATATCTCTTAAAAGCAATTGTAAGCACATTAGGGGCCTCCAAAATTGTCAATTGCTTTTTAGCTCGTTCAAAAGATTGGCATCTGATAAACAAAGATGAGGGTAAAAATAAAAAATTGCTACTCAATGAAGGTGAAACTTCTAAAGAATGTGAAGTCGTTCAATTACATGGTGCATTTATCAGAAGATATAATAAAATAAAAACGTTAAAGGAACTGACATAGGAATATAATTACAGCTTTATAAATTACAAAATCAAAAAGCTGACTGGTACATAAATATCATAAAAAGACGAGGATTTTTTTCACACAAGCGGCCAAAACGTTACATAAAAAGAATATGAACACTAGCAAGGCACATCTGGTTTATGTTTTCAATGGAAAGTACGAATATAACTGTTTATCAACAAAATGCAAAAATCAACTTTCAAGCTTCTGAATATTTTTGGCATGTGGTTTATGCAGACTTTCTCAGAAAAAATGAAGTCCGTCCAATTTCCATGGGGAAGACAATGAATGTGCTCTTTTTATCAAAAAGTGATGAACTAACAACATAATTTATTTTACTGCATTAACTAATTTCTTCTTGTGGATAACCAGACTTTTCTCAATGAGAGAAAGTTCACTTCTTAGCAAACAGAATTTCTTCATTGTTGTGATGCTATTGGCATACGATGTATAAAAGAAAATCAGTTACTTATAAAAAGATGAACGAGCTGTTCTCGAAGCGTGTTTCCATGGTGATAAAAAACATAAGAGGAGCTTATGCAATAGAAGGCTTTTGTCGTACATTATTTTAGCCAAAAAAATATGCTCGGGTCAACAATTTTTGGTCCCTGGTCCAACATTTGGGTTGCCTCCATGGTGACTTGGCAAACAGATTTTAAATCTTAGGAGCAAGCTCTCTACAAACGCAACATGGCATTGAGACTATGTGCACCAAAAAAAATCACATTATCCTCAATTGGTGGAACCTTTTGTTAAAAACCCAACTAAGTGGTAAAAGACCGGTCAATTCATCAACTATTCACGCTTCAAATCCTAAAAGCTTATGAGAAAATTCAAAAACAAATGAATCAAAAGTATGAAATAAATATTCGGAGCAAAAAAAAGAGCAAACAAACCTTCCACATTTGTACTTGTTATCTCCCTCCAGAACTTCACTAGCTGTAAAACGTGCAAGAGCTTCTTCAAGGGTCCCAATATCACCATGTATATCAATAGTGAGATCCATCATCCGCTCACGTTGCTCTGATTTTCCCTGACACCTCATGCATTTTATCTGCATGACTATAATAATCAAAAGCTTTCCCGGAATAACAAAATAGTAACAATTTGCATTCCAAAAAAATATTAGACCTTAGAACGGAGGTATCCACCAAATATTAATTGTATAAGTGTGGTTTCTTCAGCTAACTCGCCTACAATGCTTGCCCCAGCTTCCTTCAGACATGCAGACTGCAATGCATCAATCGAATATCTGCCAAAAATGATTGACAAAAAACATTAACAATGGCCTTCAAAAAGTATAATTGAGTTAGTTTACCTACAAAGAGGGCATATATTAATCAAAAGAAAGTTTTTCTTTCCATGATCATATAGCAAAAGTAGATGATCCTACAAGAACAGAGATGGGCTGGCCATATTAAATAAATGATCGCAGAAAGTAATCTGCTGTAATCAAAGCTGGTATTGTATGAGCAAACTCAAGATAGCCAGGATATTAAGAAGTAGCTCAGCAATCAATAGGTCTGATGTTTAAAATCTAAACTTTAGGAACATAACAAAGGTAAAGGGAAAGAGATTTTTACCACAAAGCGAGAGAGGGTCGTGGAAATAATTAAAATCTAAAGTCTTGTAAAAGTCATCGAGGCCTATGGCAAGAGGGAGAAATGTCTAGTTAGAGGGTGGGATGGCTTGAGAGAATAGAAAGGTTTGTATTATTGTACAAAAGTGTTGTGTAGTTAGGAGAGAGAGAGAGAGAGTGAGAGAGAGAGAGAGAGAGAGAGAGAGAGAATGGTGGACGAGGGAAAATGTGTTTTGTGGTTAGGAGGGAAAGTTTGAAAAAATAGAAAGGTGTATATTATCATAGAAAAATGCTATATTGACAAATTACTTTTTAATTGTAATATATCATCCAAACTAAGAATATTATCCTTCTTATTATCTTCACTTTTTTGTTCTTACTTGTCTATATAGAGGCCCTTGTATTCCGCCAATGGGATACTAAAAAAATCTCTATAACATGATGTGAAAGAAAAATTAACTCATCTTGACTGTAACCCCTCCTCTCTCCCCCTCTTTCTAGCATTCTTAATCTCACCGCCAGTGGCCACAATACTCACCCCCATCCCTACTAGCCTGATCATTATTTCCCACTAAACACCCACCCTCATTTTCATCCACGTTAGCCCTCGCTTGCTCATCCACAAACACACTCATTCAAGTGCTCACTCATACGCTCGACTTTGTGCTTATATGATCTCCCTGCTTGTCTGCTTTGCGTGCCAATGTGTTTGCTACTTTCACTTGATGAGCATAATAAGCCTATCTATGCTCACACTGCACAATGCCTTCACTTTGATGTACAATTGATTAAATCATTATCATATTCTCCCCTTTTCTCTTTGTAGTGTCTACCAATGGCTCTACAACTCTCTTGAAAGTGAAATCCTCATCAATTATTGGTACAAGTATCAAACTCAATTGCATAAAATATCTCTTGTAGCCTTGGACCTACTATTTTTCATAGGATTTCATGAAAAACTTCATCATCTAGACTCTCTACCTATCAAATAAACAACATTATTAAATACACCAGATGGAGAGTTTCTAATTATGTTGATCTTACATGGATTTTCAATAGCCTTGAACCTGCTATTACTTCTACTATCATGTTTTAGAAGACTATCAAATAGATGTGACACTTTTTTTATTTCACCTACTTTAAACTTTCAGCTTAATAACATTTCTAGGTTATACACCCTCTACTATAATATATTCTATTTGAAAAAAGGTTGAAAAATCTATTCAAGAGTATTACAACATTTTGAAAGGTAAATGGGATGAACTTCAATAGTTCCCCTTTACAACCACTATGACCACTTGAAAAAATAAAATAAAAAGTTTCTCGTCATAAAATTTCTCTCTAGTCAGCATCAATGTTTACAAGCTCAATTAATGGTTAACTCTATTGTATTAAACATCTCCATTATTCTCTCAAGGTTCTACAAGTCATTGAGTTACCTGCTACGCCTTCTTCTAATCACAATGAGACTAATCTTGTCATATGAACAAGGGGTAGTCAGGGTGATCATGTTCATGCTGGTTGTAGTGGTTGTTGTCATAGTCTCAACTCTATTCCACCTTGTCAATATTGTTAAATAATCAATCACATGGCTGGCTTGTCATTAGCTATCCTCCAGCAACGCAACTTGTCTCCACTATTTTCCCTCTTAATTTCACTAGTACTAGAGTTTGATCTCTCTTTTCGAAAAATAATAAGATCGACTGCTACAAAATTCATAATGGACCACTTTAGGCTCTCGTGTAATTTTCTCTTATGGTTCTGCTGCAGCTAATTATTTTAATACATCTTATGATTCAGATTATGGCGTGTAGTCCTATATAATAGGTATCCAAAAATTATTTTCATCACTCAACACGGCATCCATCCTACCTGTCATTGTTTTCGACAGATCACCCTCTCATATTTCAAGAAAAGGATACATCCATCCCACCTTGACTTTAGTTAATATTTTCTATGATCCACAATCTCTTGTAATCTTTGTTTAATATATTCCCTTAATAATCCACATAATTATTTCATAATTTTTTATCATTCTTATTATGTTTATAGTATCTCGGCACGGAGAAGAAGAAGATTGATGGAGAAATTTACGATCATATTTGATGTTGCTTCCACTACCTTGTCCTCATCCACTACACCTTAAATGTGGAATCATTGTTTAGGTATCCTCATGCAATATCCAAGGTTTCAATCATGTTCCTTCTTTTATTTTCAAATTTGAATATCAAGTTTATGAATGTAGCAAACATCATCAAGCCTCCTCTCATGTTTCTACATCATCTTGGTGTAGAGCACATCTTTTGACTCTGTTCATTCAAACGCCAAAGGACTAACTCCTTTGTCCACTCATTCGGAATTTCACCATTTCATTTATTTATCAATGACTAAACTAGGGTCACTAGGTTTATATGCTAAGTGTCAACCAGAAGTTGTATTTGTATTCAAGTAATTTTATCAAAATACAAATTTAATTTTTTGAACCTCATTCATCCTGCCCTTATGCATCACAACAAGATTGTGTAGCTGAACATCTCCTCAATATTGCATGTACTTTAATTTTTTGCATCAATGGTCCACGAAAATTTTGGAAAGATGCCATTCTCATAACCCTTGACCAATCATGTGTCATCTAATGTTCATAGTAGTGCTCCTCCCTTCTATTAATTATCCACATACACTATTTTTCTTTTCTTTTTTTTTATTTAAGTTGATTAAACAATTATCCACAGACACTATTTTTCTTCATACTCCTATTGTCTTCTAATTCATTTGTTTTTATGCTCTTTATGTCCAAGATGTGATAAACTTTCCTCTCATGCAATTAAGTGTATCTTTATTGGCTATTCTCATAATAAAAAAAATGTTATCGATGTTACGATAATATCTATATCAACTCTATGTCTCTATCAATGCCACCTTTCACAAAGCTTACCCTAACTACTCCATAATTTAACACAATTTTACCTGATTTTCCACTTTATTCTATAGTTCTAATGCCTACACCATTGTTAAGTTCCATGTATCGGTTAAAACAAAAATTTCCCGCTTGGTCCAACAAACTCTATAAAACTTTTGATTATATCAGACTTCAAAGTAGCATCGTTGATCGTTTTATCTTTATTTACCCTCTTTCTCTAGCATAATGATACTCATTGTGTATATCAATAGCATTCTTCTCACTAGGGCTGCTTTCAGAATTTGGAGAAATAAAACATCATCTCTAGAAGAAATTTGTCACTAAATATACGGGCATCACTTCCTCCTCTATTTTTCACTACGAAGCACTACTTTCCTCTCTTCCATCATGCATTTGTTAATATTTTCTCTCCTTCAACAGTAGATCATTTTTCTCTAAAAATCTCCCATTGTGATTAATATTAACAAAGCTCTCCTTAGCAAAGAGAAACAAGTCCTCTCTCTCTCTCTCTCTCTCTCTCTCTCTCTCTCTCTCTCTCTCTCTCTCTCTCATTCCTGAAATTCCTCTCTTCTTAGAAAAAATGAATCTTCCCACCTTCCCAATCATCCCATTCTAACCCCTTTATCCTCTCATTCTCTCATCTTAATGTCTTAATACACTTAATTTAAGACAACACGTTTAACCTCATAAAAAATGAAATAATTAAGTGATAAAAACTCTTTACATCTCTAGTCAATTAAGTTCTCCCTTTCTCAAACTTACACCCAAGTCCTGATTGAGAAACTAGGATAACTATGTAACTTATTTAAAAGTGTTACAATTTTATAGATACATATTATTTAAGAAAATTGGGGGTTTTTTACGATAAGATGATATACTCAGTACTGGAGAAGTAACAAATAATCCATGATAAGAAACTGTAAAAATTTGCAGCTCTGATATGTAGCTTCAAACATATATCAACCATTATAGTGTCATGTTCCCTTCACTTTGTCCATTTTTTCTCATTGAACATAACACTGGGACAAATTGAACTGCAAGCTTTCTCAACAATGAGCACACTGAAGTGAGTGACAAACAAGTTTTAAAGGCCATGAAATGAAAACTAAACCGGAATTAGCAGAACAAAAGCCTATAATGCACCATTATAATGTCATGTTTCCTTCACTTAGTCTTTTTTTCTCATTGAACATAACACTGGGACAATTTGAACCGCAAGCTTTCTAAAGAATGGCCACACTGAAGTGAATGACAATTAAGTATTAAAGGTCATGCACTGAAAGGTAAACCAGAACTCATTATTTGATCTTCAAATGCAAGATCAAAATCATTCATTATTTGATCATCAATTGGATGCATCAAAATTTTACAATGGATGGCTCTGATTTCAGATTGCACACGAAGATGATTACTACTTTAAGGTCTAAGGGGCTTCAAATATCCCATAATCAAATGCATAGTTGTTAATGATACATTGCATATATTAGATAATTTTGATCAAAAAATATATTGCTAAAATTACATTTTTAAAAAGTTTCTATAATTCATCTGATTATCCTAAAAAAATTTAAATAGTTAAATCATCAGAAAAATTACTAAAACTCAATCCACATTTAAATCTTATATTATAAATCACAATCAGCAACATAAACTAGAGTTTGAAGATTCTATAATTCAGTAGATGGCAAAACAAGAAAAATAGACACTCTTTTTAAGAGGATAAATTGTATGTGTATATATATAGTGGAATTCATTAATGGAAAAAAAAAATTTCTGTGGTGGAAGAATGCAGACTACTAAATTGTGAACATCACCTTAAAAATTCGTGGGCATCTTCTTCCCTCCCATGACCAAAATTGCCTCCAATGTCGTGTATATGAGAAATTATTCCATTTGGGGATACCGGAGACTTCCCTTGCTTTACCTTAATTAAAAGAGTTTCAAGCTCGCATGTAAAGCACCAACCAACCTTTGGACCTATTATAAAGTGGATGATGTTTTAGGATAATATTAAAAATAGGAATTTAAGTAAAGCACTATAGAAAGATCGCAGAAACTCACAAGCCTTAGCATGGAACCCTTCAAGCATATATGCAGCAAGTGGACGGGTAAATGCAAGGCATTGGAGCACTGCATTTGCGTAACAACTGCAATAAACCAAAAACACACATCAGCACCAACAGTGATTACATCGGGTAAACGATACTAGTCAAGCAGCATATCAGTCCACATAGCTTTCAGTATCTTGAAAGCATTACTGGCAATTTGGTGGATCGTGATAATTACATTAGACTCCAAACTATTTTTCTCACACATAATAATTAAATATCTGCAGGAGGTTGGAAGAAACCATACAGGTTAACACAAACAATTGAAACCCAGAACCAAAAGGAAACACTAGGGAAGTACAGCTTAGAAAGACAGTTGATTGAAGACAAATGAAAACAGAAGAGAATAATAAGTGCAATTGTTGCATTGCAAATATTTATCTCAAATGCTCTAGTCAATAGAAGATCCAGGAAGGGTTTGAGCGTGTAGCATTACCAGTACATTGCAAAGACACTATTTCCATGATTTGGGCCCATAAACTCCATATCATAAAGAAGACAACCTAAATAGTGTTCTAAATCCACGTTCTCACCCGCTCACAAGTAACATGGTAAAAACATTTTAAATTAAAGAATCAAGTACCTATTTCCACAGTTTACCAGCCCACAAGGGTGCATCTCCACCTTGTCAGAGTTGTAAAGCCTGATGAAGTTATCATAAGGGAAAAGCATCTGGTGCAACATGGAATGATACTAGCAATCAAAATGCAAAGATAAACAAAGAAACAATATTTAATAAATAATATAGCCAACGTATGAGCACCTTGTAGTCGTACTTTCCATGTCCATGGTTAGAAAGTCCAGATTGACTACGCCTTGAAAGTGAAGATGATGGTGAAATTAGTTGAGCAGCTTTCCTCGAAGTAATCTTACCATTAGGTAAGGAACCATCAGCCTTTAATGATTTATCACTGACTGGAGGAATGTTTTCAACCTTTGGTGATCCACTTCTTTGAAAGGATTTACTATGACCTGCAGAAACTAGATGATCCTTAAGATAGTTAGGAGATGAAGATTTCAACTGCTCATTATTACTCTCCTTCGCAACTTCGCCGGAGTTTCCAATGACTAAACTCACTGTTTCTCCAAAGTCAGATATTCCTCCATTAGTTGCTGCAGAACAAGATTTCATGCTAGAAAGTTTGACATCCACCTCAAAATGCAGCCTAGAATCCAGCTGAAGATGAATGTTATGACAGCTTTGTGATTCAGTAGAACCAGCAGCTGCAGTCAAATCAAGTGTTTCTCCCCGCCCTTCACAATAATTTTCAGAAAATTTGGAAGTCTTGGAATTGTTATTGTTGATGGAACCTAAGCCACTAGGACTAAATTCTCTAGCATTTTTGCTTATCCTAGCATCTATAGATTTATCAGGGCTAGGAGAATTCATATTTGAAGGAGCACTCAATTTGAACTCAGTTTCATGGTTTACATGCGTTAAATGTGGCTGTAAGTCACTTGAGAAAGATGCATAACTCAAAGAGCCTGCAGTAGTTGTAGTATGTGGAAATGTCGGTAGGTTCGGCTGACCAGAATCAGTAACTGAAGTTTTGTGTCTATCAGGATAACTACCTGGAAAAACTTCATCCAGTCTATCATGAGCATTTGCATCAGCATGCTGTCCTCTTGGGAGGCCCTCACTACAAGATGCATTATCAAGCATCTCCACACGACCAGAAATTGTGGACAAGCTAGAAGATAAGGGATCAATTATTGAACCTTTCTTAGAGGTATTCATAAAATGCTTCTCTCCATCCTCTCCATTCTCACTGTGGACTTTTGAAGTTATATTAGATTCTGAAGACACGGGCATTGTGGAAAATGTTTCCAAACGTTTAGCATCATTTGGCTTTACTTCAATATCTGACCTGCTGAAAACCAAGACAGGTGGTTCAGAGGGTGCCTCAACCGTATTAGAAACACTTTGGTCAACATAAAAACCACCACTGGTAGCATGACCCTTTCCCTCAATCCCCAAGCCATTTCCACTAATTTCAGGCTTTTCATCTTGCACACCCATCAAATTCGAGATATTAGCTCGGCCTTTAGTATCATTTGGCTTTACTTCCATATCCAACCTTCTGTCAATCAAGACAGAAGGTTCAGATTGCGCCACACCCGTATTAGAAATACTTTGAGCAATACTAAAACCATCATGGGCAGTATGACCATTTCCATCAATCCCCAAGCCATTTCCACTCATTTCAGGTTTTTCATTTTCCACTCCCTTCAAATCGGAGACATTAGGTTGGCCTTTATAGTGCTCAAAAATGAGCGGAGGATGGCACTCATACTTGTGTCCTTGTCTCCAGTGAGTGATTTGGCAGGTCCCAGAGCTGCAATGATTCAGGAAATAAACACTGAGTACCTGGATAGTACAGATTTATTTAGAAACTGTAGTCAATGAAGAAGCATTCATCCTTTTGCATGTCAAGCAGTTAACTAACAAAACATACATAAAGCTTTCTAGGATGCTTGGCTGCATTACACATGGTTATCATTTGATTCATCAATTATAATAGAGTTAAGTTTTATTTACAATTTATCCCTTTGTATTCTAGCTCTTTGTCCTATTTCTTTTTTCTTTTCTTTTTTTTTTTTTTCCAAATGATTTGATCCCAAATCATAAAATAAGAAAGGTTTCGAGCGGGGCAGGCCTGAACCAGTAAAAGCAAATACTTGGTGCCCCCACCTTGAATCTGCACAAGGTTGCAGAGTAACAGCCCTTAAGATAGACAAATTTAAGGCAAATAAATAGTAATATTAAGGTTAGGATGTGTAAGTAGCACTTGAAATGGTTTTGGGTGGTGTAAAAATAAAAATCCTTTGCTTAATATTCCTAAGAGGAATGTGAAAAGTATCTATATATATATATAGTGTGTGTGTGTGTGAGTGAGTGAGTGTCATTAATATTTAAGTATTTAAGTTGAGCATGACAAAGATTAGAAATTTAAGTTAGATGTATGGTAAAAATAGTAATGATATATTAAGAAATTATTAATGATATCTATTTAATATAAACAACAGCAACAAGCCTTTATCCTACTATGCGGGGTCGACTATATGAATCTTTTTTTTTCTCCATAACTCCATTGTGCCCTATTAAGAGTCAAATTCTCATTTAAATCTGATTAAAAAAATGTCATTTTTAACACTTTCAACACTTTCTAACAAAGTTTTTTTTAGGTCTACCACTATCTTTCTTAGAACAGGTCGGATCTAATATATCTACTCTCCCAATAGAGTCATTGGAAGGCCAACGTTTTATGTGAGCAAACCATCTAAGATGATTCTCTCTAATTTTACCAGCCACTGGAGCTATTCCAACTTATTCACTTATGTACTCATTTCTTATTCTATCTCTAAGTGTAAAGCCACTCATCCACCTAAACATCCTCATCTTTGCAACACTTACCTTAATTTTATGTTTCTCTTTTGTTGGCCAACATTCTGCACCATAAAGCATTGCAAGTCTCACCACAATCTTACAAAATTTTCCCTTAAGTTTGAGAGGTTTTTTCTATCACATAATAGACCTAATGCGTTACTCCGCTTCAACAATGTTTAACTCATTATTTAGCAGCTCAACATAAACAAATGGAAAATGAGAATTATGAAGCCACTCATCCACCAGTTAGCTCCTTAGCTCCAAGTGATCAAGGAATGACTAGTTAGCCTGCTTGTTGATTTTGATCCAATTTCAATTAGAACCAAATGTCAAAAAAGTTCGATCGATTAATTGATCAACTGTCAAATTCACAATCCTAAATAAACACCAGATAAAAATTATTGGAAGCAACAATTTCTCTTGACAAATTATATGGATCCTACGCAGTTTTCTTAATTTAAAGACTATTTTTACCACTGAAGCGCCACAAATACAATCGATTATTTCAACTCAGAATACCCTTTCCCAATTGTAATCAATTCAACGTTCTGATCCCGAGGAAGAAGATCCGAAGATCGAATCCCCATCGAAACCCTAATTAGCATTATCGCACCCGTTCTCTTTTAAAATTCCCCCCACCAACAGACAATCAACGTTAAAGAACACCCAGTTCCGCGCATAACAAACAACGAACCAAAGAATAGCATAACTGACCAGTATTTAACAGCCTTGCAGCGTGAGCAACGGGTTGTGGTAGGGTTATGGCAGACAGCACAATTCTGCATTCCAATTCCCCCTCCGTCTACCACAGAAACCGGTTTTTCTACCGAAAATATAAACGCTGCCGCCTCCTTCTCGGCCCTCTCCGCTTCCGCTGCCGCGAGCCGCACAAGGCGCATGACCTCCATACGCCTGATCCTCGCGAGCCTCCATTTCCGGCGAACAACCAGCGCAAGCACCAGGAAAAATACAAAGAAAACCACGAGCACCGCGCCGCTCCATCCCGGATTCCACTGGTAGGGCATCTATCCCCCGCCTCTCGTCGCCGCGTCGAAATTCCTGTGATCCACCGCCACCGCCTTATCTCTCGCCGGCGATCTCCTCATAGATTCTCCTCCTGAAGCCGCACATCCGAACGTACCGAGCGAAATCCTTCCCGCGCGATCGATCGGAGCTAAATGTGGATGAATGCCGAGGGACAGCGAGAATCAGAGAAAGAACGGGTGAAGACGTTTTCGGACGAGTTACGATGCGCCTAAGGAACGCTGTATACTAAACGGAACCAGAACAGGAAGAAATGCTGACCGACTAACGCCATTTTGTCTACTCCTACTTCGAACAAATTTTAAAAAGCATCATTTTACATATTTATATAAGTAAAAAAATTCACAATGAAGAGAATATTTGAAAATATTTTACTTTTTGAAATTGTGAAAATATTTTATTTTTCGGTCATTCTTTAAGAAAATACTAAAATATTTTATATTTTTAAGTAAATAGTTCCAAAAAATATTTATTAACTTTATATTTTATAATATATAAAGCAACGGTTTAGTTGAGGTTGGGTGACGAGGACTTCTGATTTTCATGAATAATCATGAGTGAGTAGTTAAAATTATTTCTCCTTAATTCTCCTCTTAGGGAGAAATGCTTGTTTTTATTTATGTTGACCAAAATTTTTATTGATGAAGATAAGCTAAAATCATGTTCTATATTTATTATATATGATTTCTTTTTGAAGACCGAAATAACTTTCGACCTCTATGATCCCAACCATATGTCAAACATCACAAGAAGTCTCAAAATAAGTCTCAGCTTTTGGTGAAGGCTCCATGATTTGAATTAGGAAGAAAAGGCCAAAAATACTCATACAATCAATACGCTCTACTCATAGCCTCCTAAGCCGTAATTCTTCTTCCTCTGAGCTCTAAACAACTCTGGGCCTAGTACTTATGAAAAATAATCATCTCTCGGTCTAATATTTATAAAAAATATTAAATCTTTAAAATTTAATGTAAAATAAAATAAAATTAACACCTAGTCAAATTTAGTTCATAAAAAATGTTGAACTTGTAAAACTAATAACTAATTATAAAAAAAAACAAATCACACAAACTTAAAAGCATTGGATTCATGTATGGGTCTAGTATTTATAAAAAAATATAAAATCCTCAAAAACTAAAGCAAATCAAAGAGTCAAAATTTGGTCAAATTTCATTAATAAAATAATCAAGGAAAATTCATAAATTCAATAAAATATAAAAAACTCAAAATTTAATTAACTCAATGAATTAAATCATATGAATAACAATCATGCTTCATACTCCATCAATGAACACCTCTAGCTGCGTGCCTATGTGTCATAAGAAGGTATTGGTCCTTGTACCCATTGTGACAATGTCATAAATGAGTTTACAGAATATAAGTGTTAAATTATAAATATTATAAATCGGTAATCTATAAATTAAATTAATTAAAAATCAACAGCCAGCCATCAAATTTAAATAAATAGGTAATCGTCGGGTAACCAAAGCTTACAATGATATTAACTTACCCAAATGAGGATGAAATAAATCTCATGATCTTGATTTAACAAAAGTAATTAATATTAAACTTAAATAATCATTAAAAAATCTAACAATAAAATACTAAAACATGTGAGGCTTTCATACACCTTACTTGACTCCTTTTAGGAAGACAACTGTGTATTCAATTGAAAGCTTTAAATGTTTAATCAATATATTGTAAACAATCAATCAACAATTGAAATTTATCCTAAAATAAACCTCGAAATATCAAAAACACTAAAACTTAAATTTAAACTATGATTTTCTTAACTTAAACTATGATTTTATAAAAGATTAGGGGTCCAAAGAGAAAAGAACATATTTTAATGGAGAGTTCATTTTCATTTGGAAACTCTAAGGAATGAACACACAAAGAGTGAGGAAAAGAGTGAAAACCCTTAAATTTTTTTAAGAATTTTTTAACTTAGAATAATAAAAAATTATTTCAAGAGTCATTATAAGTCAAATCACAAACTATCTTTATGAGAACATATATAATATAGTGCTTTAATTACTATAATTTTTTTTTTCATAATTTTTAGGCACTAGCAAATTTTCTTAACAAAATTGACAAATGTCGATATAAGTTAGGATTGTGCGACCGATAGGCATCCGATTTGTAAACCGATTTTTTTAGAATATTTTGGATACACTTGGTTATATATGATGTAGTATTTTAATTATCGAATTTGAAGATATAAAAGAATTTAGGCTAAAATTTAATAAATTAAATAATTATATTAATATTATATTATTATTTTTATATAAATATGTTTAAACATTATAAACTTTCATTAAATCCGTTTTTGCCTTTTGATTTTCATTCGGGCGGGTTCGACCCGAACCCGGCGGGTTGACCCGAATTGACACCCCTAGAATCAAACATTCAGGATGTCTTCTACACTTCTTCTTAAAATTAACCACAGCAATCCCTCTACCATTGGATTTTATTTTTTTTTGGGAAAAGAGACATATATTAATAAGAGGAAAAAGCCATTACAACAAGATAGAGCAAGGAAAAAAAGAAAGAAAGAAAAATTATAATAAGCCGCGGGCTCAGTAAGTGGTTGAGGCTTCCAGCACCATCAACACCCCACCAGGACCGTCCAAAAGGTGGAGAAAAAAGCTAACCCGAACAAACCCGAAAGAAACCACAACAATGGTTGCCACCAGCGAAGTGCAATGATGCGAGCCCCAACCCATCATTGCCCAATCTTCGACACAACAGCAAACCACACATAACAAAACAAATTAACATCAGTAAGAACTAACGCCTACGGCGACCCCTGCCTCTACAACGAGCTCTATCACGATTTCCAACATAAGAAATGGTATAACATTAACAAGCGTAAAATCGCATCCCGGATCAGATCCACCACAGAAATCAGGAGATGGCAATTCATCACCATCAGATTCAGATCCAGGATCACCCTCGGATGAATCCAACCAATTCAAATGGTTCCTAATGTCCAGTCCCGAACTGTCTCCTAAAATTACCCACAAAATGCGTATCAACCGCGTTAACAGGAACTTCAATGAAATTATTAGATACCGTAATGCATTTTTGGGGCACCTCCAAATTAAGAACATGAGAAATTGCCCCAGGCACTACCCCAATAGAGTCACCCACTTTTACAGAATTATCGGGCAAAACCTCACCACAATTAGACTGTAATTTAGGTGGAAAAAAAGGCAGAGCATTAGGAGATAAAGCAAAATTAACATCAAAATCCTTCTCCAGCCTTTCACCAACATCCCTAGCATTCACTGAATCTCCTTCACGCGCAACATCGACACCAACACAATTTAAAACAGCAGCATTAGGAGAAACAAAAGTCTGGTCAGGCGAAGCAGCCCGACAATCACCATCAGGCAAAACAACACCCTCCACATCAGCAGAAATATTATTAACTATAATTTCACAATCTAAAACATCTCGATCTAAGGCAACATCACTTAATTTCCCAGAAATACCACAACCAGGAGAAATAACCAAAACTTCAGTAGAAACAGGGACAGGAGGATTGTCCAGGGCGTTGGGGATAACAATCGGAGAGGATTTGGACAAAAGTATAGGATATTCCATTTTCTTGTGACCTAAAGCTTTACAAAATAAACAGAAGCTAGGCATGCCCTCAAAAATAACTTTATGGACATACCCCAGCTTCTCCGAACCTAACCAAACAGAATCGGGAAAAGATTTTGTAACATCAATTTCAATAAGAACACGAGCAACAGATGGACGGGATCCAGAAGGCGTAGCATTGTCAGTATGTATCGGCCTACCAAAAACCGAACCCAAACCAAAAAGAATACGGGAGGAAAAGAGATGGGGACGTAGTCCAGGTAAAGAAAGCCAAACTGGAACGATCGGAGATTCCTCCGACAAATCAAGAACCGGTGACCACTTTATAACTTTCATAAAACAGCCATAAATAAAGTAAGATCTGTGAGCAAAAACCCTAGCATAATCCAAATCGTTGGCAAGCTTGATTAAAACATTCGCTTGATCCAACAAAGTGACTAAAAACTCTCCAGATAATTTAAGGATAAAGAAAAGCCTACGGATGGAATCTAAAGAAGGACGTTTAAGGGGAAATTTCCCCACCAACGCAAACTCAAAAGGCTTGGCTAGTTGCAAAAATTCCTCTTCCGAAAACCACAGAGATGGCATGCCCCGATTCGAAGAAATACGAAAATCCGGAAAATCATTTGATTCAACGGAACCAGATAGAGCATCCTTAAAAGATTTAGGTTGCTTACCCGCAAGGAAACCAGGATCAAGCTTTTTTTTTTTTTGCCATTAAAGAAGTACCGCCGGCAAGGAGACGGCGAGAGAGGAGACGCGAGGGCAAAAGCCCTAAAAGGGCGAAAACCCTAGCAGACGAGACGGAGGCATCTTATGTGCTTGAAATTTTTGTAATCTCAATTACTCTTTAATTGTTATAATGTGATGATATATGTTCATATATGATTAAATTATATCTATTGAGAGTTATAAGGGGCCAAATTTTTTTGAGATTTTATCTGTATCAAAAAATATTATGATGCCTTTAAGGCATATTTTGGTGGTCATATTCTAGTGCCTTCAGACATATTATGGTGTTATAAGTACAAAAGGGAGTCATTAGGGGTCATAATTCTTTGAGATTCTATCTCGATATGAAAAATTTGATATGAAATGCTCTATGATATGCATTGCAATTTATTTATCTAGTCAATATTATTATTTAAATAATTAGATTACTATTATGCTTTTATTATAATACTACATTGATTTATTAGATTGTATTTAACTACTTTTAAATATTCAACAAAATATTTAATAAAAGAATGCATGGCCTATTGAGTTGTAGCTTATTGTGATTTTGTTTCTGATTTTAAGGATCTAGGAAAGGAAAAGAGATAATTGTTGACCTCGATTTTGCCCAGACCCGGGCCTAAAGAGTCGACTTGG